GGGACCCTTCAGTCCGCAGGCCGACGCTCTATCCATTGAGCCAAACTGGTTTCAGCCGCTCAAATCTATTTAAAAGGCCTTTCCCTACCCTGCTCAAGGATAACAAGCTCATGAGAAGTGCGACCTGTTTTCTGTCAGGGGTGGGGCTGCCTCCCCAGACAAAGTCCCTGCTGACCCATACTCGCTGGCTGTGTGACTTCAACAAATCCCTGACCCCTCTGAGCCTCCATTTTTCTCCTGAAAAAATACAGAACTCAGCCCAGTGAAAGGAACTCCAGAGTCAGATGAGGGTTTGAATCCTGGTTCCCCTGGGTGACCTTAGCCAAATGCCTTGGCTTTTCTTTTTTTTTTCCTTTAAAAAAAATTATATATATATATATATATATATATATATATATATATATATATATATATATATATATATATATTTTTTTTTTTTTTTATTGATTTTTTACAGAGAGGAAGGGAGAGAGATAGAGAGCTAGAAACGTCGATGAGAGAGAATCATCCAGCTGCCTCTTGCACACCACCTACTGGGGATGTGCCCACAACCAATGTACATGCCCCTGACCGGAATTGAACCCGGGACCTTTCAGTCCGCAGACCGACGCTCTATCGCTGAGCCAAACCGGCTTCGGCTGCCTTGGCTTCTCTGCCTCCGTTTCCCTCAGTGAACCCGAGTTGCAGTGCTGGTTCTTTTAGGGTGCCCTGAGCTCCATCCCTTCGGGCAGTGGTTCTCAATCCTCCTGCCGTGACCCTTTAATCCAGCGCCTCATGCGGTGGTGACCCCCAACCATAAAATTATTTTCCTTGCTACTTCATAACTGTCATTTTGCTACTGCTATGAATCGTAATGTAGATATCTGTGTTTCCCGATGGTCTTAGGCTCTACAGGTTGAGAACCGCTAGCAGGGTCGCCTAAGACCATTGGAAATCACAGATATTTACATTATGATACTTAACAGTAGCAAAATTACAGTTATGAAGTAGCAACGAAAATAATTTTATGGCTGAGGGTCACCACAGCATGAGGAATTGCAGTAAAGGGTCTGGGCATTAGGAAGGTTGAGAACCCCTGCCTTAGGGGTGGGGGGAGGAGTGCCCAGTCTCTCCTCACTCAGGCAAATGAATGGGCCACTTTTGGCTGCCCTGCTGGGAGCTTACAGCTGGTAATTCCTTGGAGAAACAGGAAGCTCTTTCATGCCCAGGCGCCAGTGGGGTGAGGAGGTGGGAAAAGGGTATGAGCTGGCTTCAGCCCAGTGGGCAAAGTGGCTTCATGCCAAGCCCAGGAGTGGTGTGGAGGGCCCTGGGGTAAGCATATCCTTGGCCCCAATGGCTCTTAGTACCCTCAGCTGTAAAATGTAGGTGACATGGACTAGCGTGGCAGGTTCAATGTGTCAGTGGATGGAGATAAAAGGGTGTTTCAAGTTAAATACAGGGTGAGCTCTAGCTGGTCTAGCTCAGTGGATAGGGCTTCAGCCTGTGGATTGGTTTGATTCTGGTCAAGGGCACATGCCCAGGCTGTGGGCTCCATCCCCAGTAGGGGACATGCAGGAAGGAGGCAGCCAACCAATGATTCTCTCTCATCATTGATGTTTCTATCTCCCTCTCCCTTCCTCTCTGAAATCAATAAAAAATACATTAAAATAAATAAATAAATAAATAAATAAATAAATAAATAAATAAATAAATAATACAAGGTGAGTTGTCACATGTCATCCTAAAGAGCCTACTAAATTCTCCATCAGATCTAGAAATAGAACTTCCTCCAGTTCACAGGCGAGGAGACAGGCTCAGAGGTCCACATGCTTGTCCACAATCACACAGCCAGTTAGTGAGTGGCCCAGCCAGGATTTGAACTGGACCCCACAAGGTCCATGCTCTTCCTAATTTCCTCTGGGGGAGGAGGTTTTTGTTTTGTTTTGTTTTGTTTTGTTTTGCTATATCCAATTCTGATCCTGAGAGCAGCAGACCCAAGTCTGGATGGCACCAGATCATGACTGAAAGCAGAAGATCATGGCAGGCAGGGACTGATGGAGCAGCCCTTCCGCTCGTGTCCCAGTTTCCCAGCCAGCACCCCCTCCTGGGGCAGGCTTGGGCAGACACTAGGAGGACGCCAGGAGGACCATTCCCCCAGCCCTTGAAGAAAGGGGCTGGGCCCCAGACTATTCATTTGACGCCAGGAACCACAGCCTCCTGGCAATGGCTGATCAGTCTCAGAACCCTCCATTCATGCGGATCAGATGGTGTCCTGCCCTTTCTCAAACACCTTCTGTGACTGCTCCTGAGCTCAGCAGGATCTGGCTCTGCATATTTTATTCAAATTCGTGGTCCTTGGTTATACTGTTCCCCCTGCCTGGGCCCTGCACCTCCCCACCGCAAACCCCCAGATTTTTCTCACCCTGATGAATTCCTGCCCACCCATTAAGGTGCAGATAGAATACCCTCTCCCAGGAAGCTCTCCTACCCCTGCTATCCCAGCACTCTCTCTCTCCCTGGCTCAGCCCTGGCCCTAGGGGGCTGTGTGTGTGTGTGTGTGTGTGTGTGTGTGTGTTGTGTGTATGTGTGTAGCTCAGTATTACCCAGATTGGGGGCTCATCAAGTGCAGGGATGGAACCGGGGCCTCTTACAGTCCTTGGCTTCATCCAACACAGAGAGAGCTGGGCAGTAGGGAGTGGCAGTTATTTAGTAAATCAGTGAACCATATCTTTAGCCTGGAATCTATTATTTGTGTAATCTGGTTTGGCAAACTCCTGTTCATCTTTCAAAACCCACTTCACATGCCCTTTCCTTACAAAAAGCCCGTCCCAGGCAGCATTTACTGGGAAGACAGAGCTGAAGGCCCCGCCTCCTGTGTTTCAGCCAGGATGCATGAGGCTGATGAAGACCTTTAAAAAAAAAAAATACTTTATTGATTCTTTACAGAGAGAGAATCGTCAACTAGCTGCCTCTTGCACATCCCCAGGGGATGTGCCTGAAACCAAGGCACATGCCCTTGACCGGAATCAAACCTGGGACCTTTCAGTCTGCAGGCCTACGCTCTATTCACTGAGCCAAACCGGTTTTGGCTGATGAATACTTCTTGTACCTGCACTATCATGGACCTCTTCCTTTGCTTCTGGGAGGCTGTCAGGTACATGCGTTTCCAGGTTGCATTAGCAGCTAGGAAATGGATTTGGCAGACTTCCCCAGATTGAATCACATCATTATAAGAAGTACATCAATTTCCAAAGCCATTGCTCTATACCTGCGGGCACCAAAGGACAGCGTCCCACATACCGTCCACAGTTATTAGGTGCCCGCCTTAACCCAACCGCGGGGCGCGAGCCCTTTAAGAGGCGGGCCCTCGGGGGCGGGGCTCAGTCAAACCCGCCCCGGGAGCGACGGCGCCGCCGCAGCCTCAGTGCTTCTGCGCGGTCTCCGCGCGGTTCCGGGGTCCAGGTTTTTTTTTGTTACTTTTCCCCCAAAGAAACAGCCTCGGAGCCGGAGCGACCGCCCCCCCCCCCCCCCCCAAAACCCACAGGACACCTGGCCTCGGGTCATTGGCAAAATCCCCAATTTTTCCGGCAAAGGGGTGATCGAGGCGACATTTAGGGCTGGGAAGGGTGGGGAGGTGACTGTCCTGGTCCCGGGCTGCCAGCGAGGACGTTCCAGCTCAGAGGCGTGGACTCGGTCTCGCTGTTGCGGCTGGGCTGGCGCCGGGATTCGAACCCGTGCTGCTGAGCCCAACTTCGAACTCTGAGGACTTGTGGAGCTACGATGGCCCAGTCTTTGGTTTGTGCAGACACCGTGAGCAGGTGAGGGAGGGCCTGAGGATCCGGCGGCGGGCCGTAGTGGCGCCGTCCTCTGCTTGGGGTTGAACTCTCTTGGGATGGAGCATGGGGCTTGTGAAGCCGGTGGCGAGGAGGGGTGGGCTGGCGGGGGCTGGGCCCTCAGTGCTGGATCCAGCCCCTCTCCTCGCCCTGATTCTGGTGCCTCCAGGGTGAGTTCGGTTCTGAATCGCAACACCCGGCAGTTTGGAAAGAAGCACCTGTTCGACCAGGACGAGGAGACCTGCTGGAACTCAGACCAGGTGAGCTCCCCCACCCCTTATGGGAATCAGACTCTGGGGCCCAGGGTGCCTCTAGAACTCCAGGGCACCACAGGTGGGCTTAGTCGGGTTGGCCAACACGTGCTGAATCCTGCCTCCACGCTTCCAGGGCCCCTCCCAGTGGGTGATACTGGAGTTTCCCCAGCGTGTCCGTGTCTCCCAGCTGCAGATCCAGTTCCAGGGGGGCTTCTCCAGTCGCCGGGGCTGCCTAGAAGGTACTGGAAGGCCCTGGAAGAGGGGGGAAAGGGGTCGGAGGGGACACCCTGGCCTCACAGTCTGCCTCTTTCCCTGCTGCAGGTTCTCAGAGGAGTGAGGCTCTCAGTAAGATTGCGGACTTCTACCCTGAAGACAACAACTCCATTCAGATATCCTACCCTGGCCTCTGGGAGGGGGTGGTCTGTGCCTCTAAAAGCTGCCCCTGTGTGTGGCCTCCAGCAAGTGGCCTCTAGGCCTGCATTCCTTCATCTGTGAAATCTGTTGTGTGTGAGTGAGTCTCAGGGACCTACAGCCCGTCTGACCTGGGCTGGATAGGTAGGGGCTGCAGACAGTTAAACGATAAGCTGTTTCCCTTGACTGCTGTGCTCACACCTTTCCTGTACCGGCTGCGGAAGTGGACCAGCTGAAGGTCACATTTGAGGACCCCACGGACTTTTTTGGCCGAGTGGTCATCTACCACCTGCGAGTGCTGGGGGAGAAGGCGTGAGGCGGCTGGGCAGCCGCCTCCTCCCCGAGACCCTCAGGAAGCACAGCCCAGTCCTGCGAGTTCTGCACGGGTTTATTGGTTTCTGCTGGGAAGCACCCCTCCCACCGTCTGTCCGGAGCTGCCTCTGAAGCCAGTTCTGGGTTCCCCCAACGCTGGGCCGACTGTCTTGTTCCCTGAGTGTCTGAGTCCCTGTGGGGAAGGCGGCCTTCACTCGGGGTCATCGGGCACCATGTTGTTGTGGAAGAGTTTGAGGATGTGGTTCTCGATCACCTGTTGCACTGGAAACGGGACAAGGAGAAAGTGGCCGTGAATGGAACTGGGCTGCAGAGAAACACGCCCACCTGCACCCGCCCTTCCCCGGGGGCTATTGCCTTGAGAACTACACCCTTCCCTCTGGGGGCGAACCGGGCCCTCCCCACACCTGGACGTGGATTTCACACGTAGGTAAATCCACGCGCCTCCCAGGGCACAGCTGGGAAGACTGAGGCCCCTATCCCAGGATCCTGTTTCCCCTAAGTTTATAAAAATGTTTTTGGAGGCATTTCAGAGTTATAAAAATATTCCTTACAAAACAAAATCGGTGAATTGTTATATGTATGAAAGGGCAAGAAGGGCTATGAAGATTGATTTGTCCCAAATGGAAGACTCCTTGAAGAAAGGAGGGGATATTTCCCAAACCATCAATCCCCTCCATGACCACAGAGGTTGGTTCTGTTAGAATCACCCCATTTCATGGGTCGGGAAGCAAATGGAGAAGTGAGGAGTCAAAGTGGGGTCTCTGCTTATACCCACTTCCTGCCTCAGTGAGTAGCCTCCACGGCCCTGTGCACTGTGGCCGGCTCCCTCCCTCTGTGTGTCCTCGCCCTGCCAGGCCTCTGCATGAGATGTCCCTCCAGCCTGGACCATCCTCCCTCCCCCTGGGTCCCCAGGAAGCCCAATGTGACCCCCATCCATCCTGAGGTGGGCCAGGCCTCTTAGTGCCAGAGTGAACTCCATCATGACCTCAGTCACTGACACACATGGACCTCCACCTCCAAATCATAAGGAGTCCCCCGAACTAGGCCTAGCACATGCCCAAGCCAGATACACAGTGGCCCTCAACGTTTGCTAATGTGAACATTCTTGTTGCCAGTATCCAAGAGGCAACCCCCATGTGCCCTCTCTGGTCACCCCACCTACAGCACCCTGTCCCTTCCCCGTGTGTCTCAGGCTGACCTTTCCGGTATCCCAGAGCCACAGCCAGATCCATTGGGGTGTAGCCAGAGTCAGCTTCGGTGGTGAGGTCAGCTCCTCGGGCTACAAAGCAGAGCAGGTGCTGCAGGGGAGGACTGGGAGCCCAGAACGGGGCCTGGGACTCCAGAGAGGCAGTGACCCCCAAAGACAAAGCCCCAGGTCTGTTGGTTGTCCATGTGGCCTTGGACAAGAGACTGAGCTCTCCTGAGAATGTGGCCAACAGAACTCCCGCCTCCAGGGTCCCTGAGACTAGACCCCTGTGGTGTCCCACCACCTCCTGCCCCCTGATCCATCAGTCCTTTGGGAAAAGCAGGCAAGATCCGTTGAGGCAGCGCTCTGACCCCTCCCTGGCCCTCAGGATTCCTGCGGTGCCAGCGAGGGCCCTTGGCCTCCCACTCACCCAGCAAGGCCTCCACGCACTTCACATGGTTCCCACGCACGGCATAGAGCAGTGGCGTCCCTCCATTCTGTCAGGGGCAGGGGCAACCAGCACTACCTTTACTGGATTCTCATACCACCCAGCACCCTCCAACTTAATGTGGTTCCTTCTCTCTCTCTCTCTCTTTTTGTTCTTTCTCTTAGCTCCTCCTTTGGGGCTCAGCTTAGATGTCCCTCTTCCAGGTGGCCCTCCCTGTCCTCCCTTGGCTGTGCAGATCACCAGCTACCTATGTGACTGTCATCACTGCATTATTCACTACATCTCAGCTGAGTGTTTCTATATTGGCTCCTCTCTCCCTCCCTCCCGTCCCACCAAACCTAGGAGATCTGAGGCTTGGGGAAGAGTCCATCTTGTGTTCTTAGCATCTAGAGCGGGCCTGGTACCCTGCAAGGAGCCCAGGACCGGCATGCGGTGCCTCACCCAGTCGTAAATGTTGATGTCCACGTCACGCTCCAGCAGCAGCACCACGATGTCTGTGTAGCCACCTGTGCTGGCCAGTGAGAGGGCGCTCTCCCGCTCCTTGGCCAGGATGTGGGGGTCGGCACCCTGAGGGGGAGCAGAGAGAGAGTGGTGATGGGAGGAGTGGGAGATCCCCTGGAATCCTGTGGTCCCCATGGCGGCCACATCTAACGACATGGCACTGGCAGATTCAGCGGAGACTTGGCCGCCCTCAAGTCCCTGGAAGTCCCCAGCTGGGCAGGGACGCACCCACTCAAGCAAGAATCGGACGGTCTCTTTCTCTCCGAAGGCCGAGGCCCAGATGAGGGGGGTGAAGCCACGCTCGTCCGGCTTGTTGATGAGGTTGTCTCCTGGCAGGAGGGGTGGTACCACTGGGCTGCATCCCTGCCCCCTCTCCCAAAGCTGTGGGAGCGGGGATTAGGTGGGCAGCTGGGGTCAGATGGGGGGACACGTGTGGACACACACAAGTGGCCACGCTTGTACACAAGCATAGACATAGGCATGGACACTCACAGGTCACAACAGCATCCATGCACACACCAGCACACAAGGTCAGACAAACACATGGGTGTAAACACACACCTTTCCTCAGATGCTCCTTCAGCTGGCTCAGTTCTCCCTGGGCTGCAAGCTGGTGGATGGACAGGGCTGGGGCCAGAGAGAGGCAGTGTCCTCACCTGTCTCGTCCTTGCTCTGTGCCTCAGTTTAGCTTCTGTCCCAAGTTGCTCCTCTCAGCCCTGCCATCCCCCTCCCCGCTCCCCGTTAAGGACAGGGGCCACTCACAGTCCAGGGTGGCCGGCAAGGCAGAGACCTCATTCCCCCGCTGCCGGTTGGTGAGGGTCGTGGAGTGCTTTAGGGAGTTGCCTGTTAGAGAGAGGAAGGGTTCTGGGGCTTCAAGCTAGACCCTGGGGGTTTAGAGCTACCAAAGACACTGCATGACTCTTCCACTCCCCTGATGCTACTGGAGCTGAGCCCTGAGAAGCTGGAAGCTACAGGACCCACTGGCCAATCTGGGGATGTCTCATGGACATCCATGGGTCATCTCCTGAAAACCTGAAGGATTTGGAGATTTTTGCTCATCAGTAAAGGCAGTTCTCGGAGTACCCTGAGTGGGGTGCTGGGCCCTGCCTGTCATCAGAGATTTAAATAAGTATGGGGCAAGGCCACCAGGTCTCCTGAGAGACTGGCAGCTCTAGGGTCCTGCTGCTGTGTGGAAGTCATGACCTAGGTCCTTCTGAGTGATGGAAATGTTCTAGAATTACAGATAGAGGTTGGGGTTACCCACCACTGTGAATGTACTTACTGCCACTAAATTACATGCAATTCTGGTTAAAATGGTTACTATGTTATGTGGATTTTAACATAATAAAAACAAATAAGCAATCCCTTGCTGGGTGGAGCAGGAAGACATGTATGCCCTAGGCGGTGAGACATAAAACAGAGACTCCAGCTAGGCCCTGACATCCCACAGTCCTTGCATCCCAGAGGCTGGTGCCCAGGGAGTACCTACCCTGAGGTGAAGAGGCGCCGGCATCTGGTTCAGGATTCCCAGGATCTGGGGTGCAGGGGAAGAGACTGAGCACCACTGTGTCTGAGCCATCCGGGGCCTCATCCCTGGGGTCCTCAGGTTCCCCAGATTCTGGGGTGGGAGGCTGCTGGGTCGGGCTGAGGTTCTCTGAAGGCTGGGTGCACTCCATGTGGGGAGCTAATGGAGGCACCTAAAGGGGAGAGATGACAATACTTAGGAACAATTCTTATGAAGTTAGGTACCAACTGCATAACTGGCCTTGCACAGTGAGGGTGGATAAACTCAGGCTCAGCAGGGAAATTAAATCACAGTCCAACTCCTTTTCAGGCACCACCAGGACACGTCCAACAGTCATTGCTTAAAAGTGCTGGCTCTGGGGTCAACTATCTGGGTTGGAATCCTTCCACTTACAGGCTGTGAGAACTTGGGCACATGCCTTACCTACTCTGAACTTGTATCCAAATTAATAAAACGGGGAAATGAAGTCTAAAAGAAGTCTTATCTGTACATAGCTAAGCAGGGGGCCTGAAACCGGCAGAGCTTAATAAGTGTTCGCTGTGGTTATTTTTTTGGAGGGTGGTCCCCGGAATGACGGAAGGATCAAACAAAGATGTAATTGGTTCCATCCCGCCCGCCCCTCCAAGCCAATCCAGGAGGTTCACTCACCTTCCACGAACCTTCTCTGTCACCGCTCGTCGCAAGCCCAGATCCCCCAAAACTTGGAGGCCCAATTCACAAACTTTTCCCCTCCAATTGATGTAGAGGGACGCAAGCTGGAGCCTGGACGGTCAGCACACTGGCTTCTTCTGTCGGGACAGAAAGCAACTTGATACTCGACCACTACCCCCACCCCAGAGGCCCCCCACTGCGCCTGCGCACCCTGCCCCCCAAAAGTGCGGAAGGGCAAGACCAGTCGGAGCTGCTTCTGGCCCTTTAAGGATTGGAGGGGCGTGGCTTCCGCTGGAGTCCGAGCCACGCAATTGCTCCTGCGCCTCCTAGTCCCGCGGGGTCAGAGAAGTGGGCGGGGCCTCCGAAGGCTCGGCGGATCTCATTGCGCCTCTTAGAAGCCAATCGGCCCCAGTTTGGGGCGGGCAGGCGGGGCTTTCTCCCTCGAGGGCAAGGGGGCGGGAGCAGGCGGGGCGTCCAGGATTTAAAGGGGCGACTCCATTGTCGTCCCCGTCCTCAACCATGCTCCCTCTGGGACATGTGCAGGGACTTGATGGCAGTGAGGTGCAAAGCGGCCGTTACTACGGTCCGAAGTGAGCGGTGTGAAGAGCGTCCCCCAATTCATCCGCCCCTGGAAAGGGGGTTCTTCCCTTCCACAGGGTCCCTCCTGGAGCTTCAGGGGTCCGAGCCCCGTCCTCACCGCCTCCCGGTGTGCCCCCTTCCCCAGCCCCTCACTCACGGCCCCTCTCCGGGTTAGGCAGAGACGGAGGAACGGAGAGGCAGGCAGTGGGCACTGGAATAGTGGCAGGGCCCAGCGCGGTTTCGCGGGGGAAGGTTTAGGGAGCTGTCACCGTCTCCAGACTTCCGGTTCCGGTTTTCAAGTAGAACGGGCCTCCGTCGCTATGGAGGAGCCGGAGATGCAGCTCAAGGGGAAGAAAGGTAACGCGAGGCAGGCGCTGAGCTGTAGGAAGGGCCCAGGAGCTCGCGGAGGGGCATCTTGACAGGGGGTGCCGGATGGGGGGGAAGACGGGGAGGGAGCGTGAGGGGCAGAGATTGAACTGCCATTGAACCCTGGTCCGGCCTCTGACTAGTTTTGAAACCTTTAGGAAGTGCCCGTGCCTCGGTTTTGTCATCTGTAAAATAGGGAGTATAGCCCTCCTCCCTCCCTTCATAGGCTTGTGAGAACCCGAGGAACTGATGTTGGTAATGCCCGAAGAAAGCTGGGGCGCGGCAGTCGTGCGTATTGTTGCCTTATAGTCACGTATTTGTGTGTGTTTACACTGACTTACCATACATTTATAAGCACATAGTTACAAATTACAAATTACATACATTTATAAGCACATAGTTACAAATTAAATTATGAGTCTCTTGCCGAAACCAGTTTGGCTCAGTGGTAGAGTCGGTCTGTAGACTGAAAGGCCCCAGGTTCATGTACGTTGGTTGCGGGCACATCCCCGGTAGGGGGTGTGCAAGAGGCAGCTGGTCGATGTTTCTTTCTCGTCGACATTTCTGGCTCTCTGTCTCTCTCCCTTTCTCTCTGTAAAATATCAATAAAACATATTTTTAAAATAAATAAATAAATAAATAAATAAATTATGAGTCTCTTGTTATTTTATCACACACGTTATGACTTTTAAAAAAAATTTTAAAAATTGATTTCGGAGAGGAAGGGAGAGATGAGAGAGAAAGAAACATCACTGATGCCCAGCCGGCATGGCTCAGTGGTTATAAATAAACTTTCAGGCACTTACAGACCCAGTGACCAGTGGATCCTTCTAGGAGGAATCTCAGATTTATTCATGGGGGTAAGAGGAATGCGAGGAGATCCGAGTGGGCAGCAGCCGTGTCCACTACACGTAGAATTGGGAGGGGAAAGATCATGAGTTCCCTGAATGCGTTGATAATATGAATGAGGCCATCTGTGACCGTGACCTTCAACCTCTCACCTGGGCCACCGGTGACCCAGCTGCTGGAGAGGACACCAGAGGCTCCTCACTGCTCTGGCTGGCCTCATAGGTTGAGCAATCAGGAGTCTTATGCTTTGTTTCTTTGTGTCTGTGCACCCTTTTCCCTGATTTTGCCTCCTTCCACTGTCAATTCTGGAACCAGTCACAGACAAGTTCACGGAGAGCGTCTACGTCCTGGCCAATGAGCCATCCGTGGCCCTCTACCGGCTCCAGGAGCACGTGCGTCGCTCTCTGCCGGAGCTGGCCCAGCATAAGGTGAGCCCCACGCACCCCTGCCACACTCCCTGCAGGACTGATTCACACTGGACATGTGAGAACATGGTAGGGGGGGCCTGCTGGTGGAGCAGGGGAGGGGCTCTTGGGATGAGTCAAGGCTGGAACACAAGCAAGGAGGCCTGTGGTCCCTGAGGTTGGGGCTGTGGGTGGACAGATGTGGGGCATTGGAAGAAGGAGCAGCAGGCCTAGATCAGTTGTGACCTGAATGGTGAGAAGGAGGCAGCTGTGTGAAGACTAGAGGGAAGAGCCTGCCAGGGAGAGGGAAGAGCTGATGGAGAGACATAGTAACTGAAAGCCTGGACTCATGAGGGAAGAGTTGGAGGAAGAAAGGTTGGGGGCGGGAGGGGGCCAGTCTCTGCAGCCATGGTGACGGGGTGCTGCATCCCAGAGAGCTGGGATGGCAGAGGAGGCAGCCTCCCCCTGCCTAACAGCCCTCACCCTGCAATCCCCAACAGGCCGACATGCAGCGGTGGGAGGAGCAGAGCCAGGGAGCCATCTACACAGTGGAGTACGCCTGCAGGTGAGCACCTCAGCCTCCCCATTGCCAGCATCACCTCGCAGTGCATTGGGGGTCACCGCCTGGGCATTCAGGAGCCTCTCAGTCAGCTCCCTGGTGAGCCCTGTCTTGAAACCCACCTGAGGGGGGAGGCTTGTGGGTCTCAATTTCCCTGGCCACACAGCAGGTTCCAGCCTAGGCCTGTGCTTCCCACTACTTGCTCAATCTCTGTGTGCCTGGGGCAGGCTTCTTCCCAGCTCTGATCCCCTCCCCGTCCATCATAGGAGGGTGTAACAAGGTTGGGGAAACATAAAATTTGTCATCTTAACCACTTCTAAGTACTAGTTCAGCGGCATTAAGTACATTCACATTGTTATACAACCGTCACCTTCCATCTCCAGAACTTTTCATCTTATACAACTGAAAGTCTGTTTCCTTTAAACACTAACTCCCATCCCTGCTCCCCCAGCCCCTGGCACCCACCGCTCTGTTTTCTGTTTCTCTAATGTGATTATTCTAGGGACCTCACATGAATGGAATCATACAGTGATTGTCTTTTTGGGTCTGTCTTCCTTCATTTAGAGCAAACATGTCAAACTCTTGGCCGGTGGGCTGGTGGCAGCGAGTTTGACATGCTTGATTTAGAGTAATGTCCTCAAGGCTCATCCATGTTATAGTATGTGTTGGAAATTTCTTCCTCTTTAAGGCTGAGTAAAATTCCACATTTTGTTTATCCATTCATTTGTCAGTGGGCATTTGGGTTGCTTCCATGGTTTGTTGTTTGTTTGTTTTGCCTTTTGTTTTGTTTTTTCTTTCTTTCTTTCTTTATTTTTTTTTAATATGTTTTATTGATTTTGTACAGAGAGGAAGGGAGAGAGATAGAGAGCTAGAAACATCGATGAGAGAGTCATCGATCAGCTGCCTCCTGCACACCCCCTACTGGGGATATGGCCGCAACCAAGGTACATGCCCTTGACCGGAATCGAACCCAGGACCCTTCAGTCCCCAAGCCGACGCTCTATCCATTGAGCCAAACCGGTCTCGGCTTTTTTTTCTTTATTGATTAAGTTATCACATATAGGTCCTTATTCCCGCATTGCCCTCCCCCTCCCCCCGCCCCCCATTCCTGCCCTCACCTCTCTGGTGTCTGTGTCCATTGATTAGGCTTATATGCATGCATACAAGTCCTTTGGTTGAGCTCTCCCCTGTACCACCACCCTCCCCTAGTACCTAGTTTTTATTTTATTTTATTTTTTACTCCTCATCAGGGGATATTTTTTCCATTGTTCTTTAGAGAGAGAATGGAAGGGAGAGAGGAGAGAGAGAGAGAAAGAAAGAGAGCTAAACAAGCATCGATGTGAGACACAACAACTGGCTACCTCCCACACTTGCTCCAAAGGAGTCTGGGGATGGATCCAGTAACTGGGGTACTTGCCCTTGAACAGGAATTGAGCCTGTGATGTTTGGGTCCACAGGCTGATGCTCTAACCACTGAGCAAATGGTCAATGCTATTGTTTTTCTTTTTTAAAAATCTTTACCTGAGGATATATTATATTTATTGCTTTTATAGAGAGAGAAGCACCAATTTGAAAAGCACATTGGTTGCCTCTCAGCTGAGGACTGAACCCTGAAACCTGGGCATATGCCCTCATCAAGAATCAAACCCATTACCCTTCAGGTAATGGGATGATGCTCCAACCAATTGAGTATACTGGCCAGGGCTGGGTTGCTCCCATGTTTTAGCTATTGTGGATAATACTGCTGTAATGTGAATGTACCATTTGTGTGTTTTTTTTGTTTTATTTTGTTTGTGTGTATGTGTGTGTGTGTGTGTGTGTGTGTTTAAAATATATTTTTATTTATTTCTGAGAGGAAGGGAGAGGGAGAAACATCAGAGATGAGAGAATCATTGACCGGCTGCCTTTTGCATTCCCCCAACTGGAGATCCAGCCCACAACCTGGGCATGTACCCTTGACCAGAATTGAACCTGGGACCCTTCAGTTCGCAGTCCGATGCTCTATCTACGGAGCAAGCCAGCCAGGACTGTTTTTGGTGTTTAAATTTTCTCTAAATCTTCAGATTGTCTCCTCTGCCCCAGGAGAAAGATGCCCGAGGGTGAAAAACTGCAGTGGGTGGTTGTTTTTTTTGCGTTATGGCAGCTCTGCTGGCCTTTTCTCCTGCACTTCTGTTGGCTTCTGGAACAGTATTTAATGCCTTGGCTTGTTCCATTTGCCTCAGGAGTTTGGCCACTTTATTTAGAGGTGCTGTTTGCACCTGGCATGGCTTTGGGTCATTTGGTGGAGGCTGGACACTCCCAACCTTTCTCGTCTGTGGCGCTGTGGGGTTTGCGTGCCTGTTTGGGTCTCTCTCACATTCATCTTTCTCTCTCCCCCCTGCCCCTTCCACTCTCTCTAAATATCAATGGAAAAAATATTCTCAGGTGAGGATTAACAACAAACAAAACCACACAATAGGACACAGTTTACTGCAGATGTCGCACAGGTGACTTTCTGGCATTCGCAAGGCCCCTCGTGTCTTGGCAGGGAAATATAAACTTTGAGCTCCTGACGAGCCCTCAAGAGGCCCAGAGTCCCCCAGGTATCTGCTGAGCTCCAGTTGGGTGCGGCAGGGAGGTGCCTACTGTGTCTATCTTCCCATTATAGTGCTGTGAAGAACCTTGTCGACAGCAGCGTCTATTTCCGCAGCGTGGAGGGCCTCCTCAAACAGGCCATCAGCATCCGGGACCACATGAATGCCACCCAGAGCCACAGGTAGCTCCCAGCACCACCCGCCTACTCACCTCTGCTGTTCTCCGCCTCCTTGCCGGAAGGACCTTCGCTGCTCTGCCAGGAACTGCCGCCATCGCTCCTTCGACAGCTTCCTTTCCGCATCTCACAATGCTGCTGGCTTCCTCTTGTCCTTTGGTGTCTGTGGCAGGAGACCTCAGTCACTCAGTCCCCAGATCCTGAGCTCTGCTATGTGCCTGGTCCAGGGCTGGAAGCAGGGGACAGAAAGGTGACCAGGACAGGTCTCACAGGGAGGCACACAGCAGCCAGGCACACATGGAACGGACCGAGCTCTTCAGAACCGTGCAAAGGAAACATGGGGCTCTCTGATGAGGCAGAGGAAGTGGGAGCGGAGGCCTGGAAGATTGGCTGACAGAAATGACTGGGGGTGATGCTGGGGGCAGGGCAGTGGTGAGGATAGAGGCCCTGGGGCTGGGGAACTAGGTGTTGGAGGAACATCTAGAGGACGGGTATGGCCTGAGCAGGTGAGCGAGGGGGAGATGGGGTGAGGGAGGTAGGCAGCCAGTAGGGAGGCTGCCCAGAGCTGGAGGAGGCTTTAGCTGAAGACAGATGGCAAATGAAAAGCACTTACAGCCCTTGCACATCGGGGAGAGAGTTTTGGGGGAAGGAGTTCTTATTGTTTTTCATAACTTAATATGCGTTTGAACACATACACACATGCTGTAAGCCATAATTCTACTTTGAGATATATCTGGCTCCCATAGTTTGGGGTTCTGGCCTGCCTGTCCCCCACCAGATATTTAGGGGGAAAAACCACAAACCTCTGTGTTGCTGTGTCGGATAACTGAAACATGAGAATCATTGAAACAAAAGCCTTGTGAATGTGTAAAGCGGGTGCGCAGCAATCCTGAGGTAGCAAACTAGGGTTTACCTGGGTGTACTGATCTGCTGCTATTGGTGACAGCCATCACTAGAGTCGACTCTGTAAAGTGCCTTGAACAGCGCCCTGCACTCAGTAGAGCCTCAGAAAGCTAGAGCTTTTCCTTTGAACTCAAGGCCCTGCTTGTCCTTGCTGTCGTGAAAACGCAAAGTGCTTTTCTGAAAGCCCCAAGCCTCTGCTGACATCTCTCTTTGCAAAGCCCTGTGGGTTCCAAGTTCCCAGACATGCATCAGTCCTAGCCATGACCTCTGCGGTAGGTGGCTGGTCCCATTTGTACCAAGGACGCCCTGAAGGCTAAGGCCAGGGGTCTTGGGAGGGTGACCCTATGCACAGTCCAGCCTGGCTGAGCAGGCCTTCCGGCCTCTGACTTTGGTCTCACGGATACCACACATGTTCTATTCCAGCCCTGAGGAGTTGCCCCCACCCCCCACGGCCTGATCCCGGAAGAGACTTGGAGGTACTTTGGCCCCTCCAACCAGGTCAGTGCTGAGTGGGACGAGAAGCCTCCTGTCTTCCGCCTTCTGAACTAACCTACCCTTTTGTTGTCCAAGAAGGGATCTGCCATCTAATCACTTGCCTCTGACATGCTATGTAGCATGGGCCTTGTAGGATGGTTTGGTCAGGGATTGGAGGGTGGGGAGGGTTGTAGAGTGAGGGAGACCTAGTGCACTCTGCTGCTCAGAGTCATTGTCAGCCCAGCCGCCTCGTCCTCCCTCTGCCATCTTCTTGCCCTTATTCAGGTCATAAGCCCTATCCTGATCTCAAGGACCCCTCCTAAACAGAGTGGATCCCATATGTCCCTGCCTACCTCATGCCAGCTGCTTGCTTTACTTACGTACCTTCTCTCAGACAGAGCCCGGCATGGCGATCCCACCCAACTCTGGACTCCACTCCACCACTGACCTGCTGTGTGATCTGAGCAAGTTCCTCCCCCTCTCTGGTCTCTGCTTTTATCTTCTTGGAAGTAACTCATCAGGTGGCGGAAGTGGCAGTTTTCCCGCTCCTGCCCAGGCCAGCCGTAATGTCCCGAGACAAGGCTTTGCTGCCCGGGGATTCCTACCCCGTATCAGCCATGTTTCCTTGGACCAGTAACTGCCACCGTGTTAATCCCATTGGTTACACTGTGCTGGGGGCTCTGTAACGGTCATCTTTCCTCCTCAGACAGCCCTCAAATACAGGTGTGACTTGTGCAGCTAGAGGAGACCAGACCCCTGCCTGGTTTGGCCCCAGCCTTTCCTCGGACATGCTGTGTGACGGGGCCTAGAACTGACCCTCTCTGGCCTCCCTTTCTCCATCTGGACAAGGAAGGCTGGACTGGACCTTTTCTACAGCTGAGGTGGACCTTTGTGTACTTGCTTGCCTGGCCGGCATTCTGCCACAAGGAGATACACCCATCCTGGGCGTAGGCCAGATGGAGAAGTCACTTGGGAACCCTGAGACTAAATTACTGTATTTTCCAAAATTGCTTTGAGTTTTTCTGCTAACTGCAGAGCCTATACTGAGCTCTTCGAAATCTAAGCTTAGGAGGTCATGACCCATAGTCTGTACACCTCCAAGGCCAGCTGTGTCAACACAGTGTCCAGCAAAATGTATCAGGAAGATTCATCAGGCCCACTGCTCTGGGAGGACCCTCCATAGTTCCCTTGGCACTGTGGGTGGCTGGGAGAGAAGGGGGGCAAGGACCAGGGGCAACCTAGGGGAGAAACAGAGGGTCCTGGCTGGTGTAGGGCTGTGGAGGAGCCTGAGGGCCTGGAGAGGGTTTAAGGCCACAGGAGATGTCAAGTACTACCCCCACTGCCAGAAAATGGGGATCGGTCCTCTCTCCCTCCTAGAGTGTATTAGGGGGCCTCTATCTGCCTCCCACCCACCAACTTAGTTTGAGGGGAAGGATGAACCTCAGGTCCAACCCATTGAGGCCCTGACTAGCGTGTGGCCTCCACAGCATCCCTCTTCTTGCCTGCTCTGAAAGTGCCTCTAATTGTCCCTCCTTCTACCTGTCCACCATGCAATCGTTTATCCGGCAAATATTGACTGTCCTCTGTGCGCCAGGCCCTGCCGGCCCCGGGGGATGCCCTGGTGAGCAAGACAGGCCAGCAAGGAAGGCCGCTAAGTGAGGTAACTGCACATATCCCAAGGGTGCTGTGAGGTAGTAGGAGACAGGTGTGGGGTGCCCCAGACCTTTCCAGGGTTCCCCGCCACCCACAGCCCCAGGACACAACCTTAGCCTGAGACTAATAGACCTCACAAAGAGGTCTGTGCAGGATTCTGGGCTGACAGATCCGTCACACGGGGTCCAAAGGCCCACAGGGAAGGCTTGGGGGCTGGTAATTTGCATCTTATTTACATGGCCGCTTCGCCTTTCACACCCACGAACGCCTCTTAACAGCTGGCCGCCAGGGGGCGCAAGAGACAAAGGCTTGGCTGGGCACTCGGCCTCTAAAAGGTCATTATCCTCATTCCTGGCTGATTGCAGTGGGGGCATCATGACCCTTCCCCTTACTCCCTCCCACCTCGCACCCCACTCCTGCGTCCTCAATTCCATTTTTCAGAGAGCGAACTAAGGCTCCTTGAGGCTGGACTACTCAGCAGGATCCCGCATCAAACCCCCAAGCGCTCCTGATCTTCCCTCCTCCTGGTATGGCGTTCCTGCTCAGTAGGATTTGCTTCCAGCAGAGCCCCAGGTGGACAGCTGGGAGAGAGGCAGTGAGCTCCCCCTGCCTTGGGGCAGGAGTGTAGCATCCATGAGGGTGATCTGGAAGGGATCCCAGCCCTGGTGACGAAGTGTGGCTTCACCCAGCCCATTCCCATCCCACGCGAGGCTCCTTCAGATCTGCATGTGGGATAAAAGGCCCAGGAAGGCAGCACTGCCCCAGGTTGGTGTGCAGTGGTCAAGGCAGGAATCAGAATTGAGTTTGGTTTTTAGTCCTTATCACCTGGTTTTATTTCAGCCCCGCCCCTGGGAAGTCCCTTCCTAGCCTTGCCATATTCCCCATGAGGCCTCTGGGTGCCCCAAACTTGGTCTCCATGCCCCTCCACACTCATACCCTCTCCCTGGTGCTCCATTTGTGTAAGAAACCCATGGAGACACCCTTTGGTGCTGCTACATACGGGGCCTGGCGGAGGAACCCCTGGGCTGGGGAGACAGAGCTGGACGTATATCCCAAAACCACTGGGTCAGCGCTGGACTGGAAGGAGGGATGAGGGTGGGAGAATCCTAACTGGGAGAGGGGATATGGAATGCTTTTGGGGGAGTGGGAAGGTAAGCCTTAAAAGGTTCTCCCCAGAAGGAGAGGCTGCTATTGTCCCTTGACATATGTCATATTTCATATGAACAAACAAGCTCAACAGGGTGATGTGACTGGCGTGAAGTCACTCTGTGAGAGGACATTGGAGCTGGATGGGGACAGGGTCCTTTAACCTGAGGTTCTGTCTGCCAGGCCACACTGTCCCTGCCATGGACACTCCTCTGCAGCCCTGCCCGCTGCCATGGGGGAGAGGATCTGGAAAAGGGGACCTGGGGGAAGCGGCTCTGCCACCTCACCACCCTCCCACCCCATATCCCCCATCTGCAGGCCCCCTTCGCAGATCCCTCATCACTTTCCACCCACAAACCACCCCTTTATCCTCCAACGTCTTACTCCCCTCATCTGAAAAGACTGAGGTAAAAATTTTTTGCCCTAACCGGTTTGGCTCAGTGGATAGAGCTTCGGCCTGCGGACTGAAAGGTCCCAGGTTCGATTCTGGTCAAGGGCATGTACCCTGGTTGCAGGCACATCCCCAGTAGGAGGTGTGCATGAGGCAGCTGATCGATGACTCTCTCTCGTCGATGTTTCTAACTCTCTATTCCTCTCTCTTCCTCTTTAAAAAATCAATAAAAAATATTTTAAAAAATTTTTTGACTGTCCCACCCTGGCTGGTTTGGCTCAGTGAATAGAGTGTTGAAAGGTCCTGGGTTTGATTCTGGTCAAGGGCACATGTCCAGTTTATGAGCTCAATCCCTAGGAGGGATTGAGAAGAAGGCAGCCCGTCGATGATTCTCATCACTGATTTTACTCTCTCCCTTCCTCTCTGAAACCAATATATATATATATATACGTATATTTAACCATGTTAAAAATTTTTTGACTGTCCCAATGTGGAACAGGTGTCCACAAAGAGTGGCACAAGCCAGTGGTGGGAGAGTATAGGATAGGAACAGGGCAAGAGACAAAAGGAAGGGCCGTTATAGGAAATAGGGTGTGAGTGGCAGAAGATGCAATGGGGCCAGGAACACAGGAGGGAGCCTCGATGGGGGGAGAGGGCAGAGGTAGGTGGGTGTATGGGGCAGCCCCAGCCAACTCAGCTCCAGCCCGCCCTCCTGCCATGCCCCAGCTGCTCCCAGAGCTGCTCCAGCTGCCGCCCTTATGTAACCAGAGCCTGCCTGTTGCATCAGAGATGGCAGGCCGCAGCAGGTAAACAGAGCGGCCCTCGGGGGGGCCTGGGGCTCCCCAGCCACCTCCACGATCCCCAAGCCTGGTTCTGCACCTTGGAGTTGAGGCAGAAGCCCCCAGACTGGCCTGGGCCCTGGTGTGTTCTTGGAACACCTGCGTGTCTGGCATTGGGCTCTGAGGGCAGTGGTGGCAGGGGTAGGAGGCAGGAACCTTTTGGCACAGTGTGAACCCTAGATTTTATGTCCAAAGAGGAATATGTACCCAGGCTGGGGCTCTAAACCTCTCATGTCACAGATGGGTAAACTGAGGCATGGAAAGAAGCACAGCCTGTTCCCTGCCTTTGTGTCTTCCACATGATGTCTCCACGTGCTCACCCCGGAGTCCAGGGTTGCAGCCATCCCCTGTTGTCTTCTGAGAAGGTGGACACCAGGCAGCCATGTAACCCCTCTGCACCCCACTTCATCTGCCCTAAATTGACCACCTCCTCTGCATCGCTCAGCCTCTCTGGGGCTCCCAATCTCATCTATCTGCTCTGGCTTCACCTTTCTTATCTCACCAGCAAAAATCACTGCACTCCCCCTTTGCACATTGACAAGGGCTGTTCCCTCTCGGAAGGCCCTTCTCCCCGTGGTAGACTCCCGCTTCAAGGCCCAGAAAAATGCCCCCTCTTCTGGGAAGCGCTTCCTGAAACCTAACCCCCACGGGGCTGGGGGAGTGTGTGGTGGCTGCTCTGCCTCCTCCAGACTGGGGGCATCTTCAGGATTACCCAGTCCAACCTTATCTTCATCCTGTAATTCTTTTCACATTGATTCCCTCACCCCTCCCGGCCTGGCCCTGTGCTGAGCAGTGCTAGGATCCCAGGACAGATGTGGGTTGAGAGGTCTGAGCTGGTGCCCAGTCTTGGAGGAAGGTGCCCAGCAGCCGAGGGGATCTGTCACTCTCCTGTCGGTGGGCGGGCCACACAGGTGACTCTGCAGTCCCTCCATTTGGGTGAGATCAAGGGCAGTG